AGAGAAAGAGAGCGAGAGCGCTTTACTGTTATTTGTAATGGCCTTTTGCATGCTGACACAAATTTGCGACCCGCATAGTTCTTGCCCGCTCTCAAATGCCAGCCAATCGGAACTATCGGGTAAGTTTTAAAATGCAAATTGGAACGCTTTGTTCCACATACTATATATTTATATGTATATGGCACCAGTGTATTTAAGTAGCTTTAATTGAGTTTAATTCTTGCTCTTTTGTTATCAAATTGGGTAAATACCGATAGCTAGATAGTGCCATTCAGTGGCTATAAATAATAATGAAATCACGATATTGATAGACGCAATGAAGCCATAGAATGCAGTGTTAACTGAAATTGTCGTATTATCTGGCACCTGTTGGTGGTCTAATCTCAACGAATTCTATGAAGTAACTCACAATTTTAGAAGCGTTGTTCACATCTTTCGAGTTTCAAAGTACTATACAAATCGAATGGAAAAAGTTTATACTTAATGTGATGGTCCTAAGTGGTAGACATAAATGTTTGTTATTATTTCATACAAGAATAGTTACAAAGTAACTTATTAGATAAGAAAGCAGTCAAAATGAATGCCTGCGACACGTTAGGGGACTTAACAAAGTCGAAACAGTTAACTAATTAAAGTAAATAAATGATAAAAACTCAATTCAAATCTAGTTTAATACTGGTTCCCAATAGGGAAGTATACTTAAAGATAAATAGAAATGCAGATTCCATTTAGATCAATTTATTTGCGGCAATCAATCATGGCAGTGCCTATATGTGAAAAAAAGTCCGTCTTATAATGATTCTGATTTGAAAACAGATGAAACCGAATTTAATCAGTTTATTTTATATTATTTTAATAAAGAACGTCAGATAAATCAGAGGAAATGTACAATTCAATGAGAATCGAGGAAAATACACATTTACATTTCCTCGTTTTAAAATCTTGAAAATAGTTAAAAAGCTTTTAAAGCCCCGTTGAGTTATTCGGGTTGGTCAATCTTTCGTTTCCGTTCTCCAGAATTGCTTGACCCATAGCCTTGCGGATCTTGCAAAAATTCCCGGACGGCTCCAAACTAGTTTTTTAACAATTTCCCGAATGTCCACATTTTTGTCTTCATAATTTGTTACTTTTTTATTTTTTGTCTTTACATGAAATAAAAGTTGTACATGTTAAAGAGCTGTGTATAGTTGTCATTGAAGCTTCGTTCTTTCATACAATTTTATATATTCTATAAAATACAATGTCAGAACATTTGAAAAAGGTTACACGCTCATCCCACACCCAACTCGTCTCGCTTTTCCCACGCTTTCCGGGAAGTCTGGTATTCTATTTTGTTTTCTAAATTATCAGATCGGTGGATCATTCATCATCATTCAAAATCGACGTGTCAAAGCAAGCTTATCAATTGGCAAAAAAAAAAAAACAAAACATGCCAAAGCCTTTGCACGTCAACTAAATTTTATAAATATTTATAATACTCATACATATGTAGTATATATATTAATATTATTATTGATATGGGTACTTAGTATATTTTATTGCCGTTGGACTTAGTTTCATACTCGAAACAGTTCAGATAGTAAGTAGGTGCGATTATTTGTTTCAGCAAAATATTTCAGTCGCATTTGTCAGAACTATTTTGAACACTCTATAGAAATGATAATGATAGTGCCAATTCATTTCCTATCCCACTCATTCATAAAAATAACTTTGCAAAAGGGCTGATGAATTGCACACCACTATCAATTCATTATCCACACTTTCGCCCACACATTCTCTCTCCCTCTCTGTCCCTCTCTCTCTCTCCCTCTCTCTCTGCCGTCCTATATCACTAATCAGAAAATTAAATTTGAAGCACTTGTGTGCAATTATCATCTACACAAGTTTTGTTATTAGTTGATTGCAGTGAAGTGACCCGAATAGGTTAAAGACATTTATGAGCCATTGGTTACAAGGTTCCAAGTAGTGATGGGAACGTGTGCAAACGCACAACTTTTGCAATAGGCCGATCGTTTTCTCACGCACAGTCGCAGGCTAATTAGGAGGAGGTTATTTAATTTGTTTACCCTTACCTTAATCGAAAGGGTAAACCAGTTTCGTGCGAATGTGTATATCACATATAAGGAGGCCCCACAAAGTAAAAATATTCATTATGATAGGACAAGTCGATATATCCATGGCCGTTTTGTGTCCGTTTATATGAACGCAAGGATCTGAGAAAGTGTAGGAGCTACAATAACCAAACTTGGTATTAAGATGCTTCTAAATCCGAGAAAGAAGAAGCTTGTGGCCCCATTGTTTTTCAATATATATTCACGCATCCATCTCATCATCATGATTTCTTGTTTGTAAAAAACTTCAATTAAGTTTCACGCACATCTCTAGTGTAAAGTTTTATTGAAATTAAGCGATAAGCGTGAGGTCTGCCTTTTGCATTGGAAACAAATTTTTTTTATTGTAATTGAAATCAGAAAATTGTTCTAATTTTATTGAAATCATTTGGTGATTGATTGCTATGTTAATAACGTTGTGATTGATGGACTGTTCCGTAGAGGTTGTATTTGTTGCTGCTGCCTTTGTTCTCGCGGTTCTCTCGCTTTTTATTGTTATTGAGATTATGTGCTTTGTATTTTTTTAAAAATAAACCCACTTCCAATGCAACAACAAATGAAATACAGCGATCGAATTGCGCCAAATGCCAAAGAATGCCATGCCAACACCAACAGCAATCACCAAAAGGCATGACTTTGTTGGCTGGCCAGCTGCAGTGACTTCTAATTGCCTTGAAAGGGAATGCAACGAGCAGCAAACGTGCAGACAACCACATACATTCACATACACACACAGCCAGCACTTGCAAATATGGCATATGATGAAAATAATAATACAACAAACGGACCAACTTGATGTTGTGCCAAATAGGAATTATATTTCATTACAGTTTGATAGCAACTGCAACAGCTGCTGTTACAGAAGACTTTAAATGCAATAAAAGAGTGGCCAGATATGTTCAATATTTGTAATTTGAAAAGGCAAAGAATTTATTTGTTAGAAATGAGAAACACGTTCGGTTACAATTTTGTGCTTTCAAGCAATACCCAGCGAATGGATAACTTCGGGACACCCTTTCGCAGTTTCCTTCTACCGCTGATGAATCTTGTTCTTAAATAAATAAATTTGATAAATTATGATTATTTGCTGCTTTTGGTTTCATTTCGCTACATTTGCTGTCTGCGTGGGGCGTTGGCATGCGGCTGATCTTTGAGCGCTGATCTCTGCATCACTTAACAGTGACTTGGCCTTGTCGTTGTATTTGTTGTAGCTGGCCTCTTGCTGCCCCCTGTTAAAGCATAATTTAATTTAGCGAAATCGCTGCTGCCGGCACGCTTCCAGCAATTGTCTTTAACTGCAATTCAACTCATCATATTGCCACAGAGACAGAAAGAGAAAACGAGAGAGAGAGAGAGAAAAAAAAAGAGAGAACGCAAATCACAGCAAGATTTGAAATTGTTGTTGCATGACTCTCAAACTGCAAACGGCCACTACTAACGGTACTGTAGAATATTTTATGAGCATTTAAGTGGTCTGTCCGCTTTGCATGTGTGCATATTTATATATGTACATGTGACTGCTTGTTTGTGTGGCAAATACCACGCGGAATGCGGTTTAAAAATAAACCAAGACCCAAGACCAAGCCCAGGCACAGAAAAGCAAGTCAAGCCACAGACCAACACACACACACACATGCAAACACAGCCACACACACTTGCAAGCTGACGCTGACGCTGCCACCACTCCAAGACAAAACGTGCTTTGGCTAAGACCCTATTTAGCCTAGTTTACAACAGACGTCGACGGCGACGGCGTCGTCTGAGGCGCTGCAAGTCTGACCACTTCCAGAGCCAGGCTTAATGACGTCGCCACCATCAGCCGCTGTACAGTGGTTTAAAACCACGAAACGTGTGGAAATTTAGTAAATGCAAAAGTTTTTAAAACATATCTACTTAATATTGATTTAAAATAAACATAAATTGATTGGAACATAATATACTGTATACATACGAGTATATTTTACTTCATTATGCTGCCAAATCCAACACAAGCCTAACTTTAAAACTCTTAAATAAAAACTCAAAATAAAATAGATAAGAAATTATAGCATGAATACTAAAACCTTAATATATTGCTTTTGTATTCTTTAAACATTTTTTTTGAATTACAATTTATGATAAATGAAACAACATTTTTGAAGACACAGTCTACTGTGCTCTGTTAACATTGCACACCTGTAAATGGGCAGAAATTCGTCGCTCCCTCTTTCTCTTCCTCTGTTGGTGGCTCTTTATGCTAATTTTCAGAGCTATAAAAACTATGACAACAACAACAAATACACCACAGCCTGTCAGTCATCAACTCGCAATTTTTTTATGAGTTTCTTGCACGCAATGTGATTGTGCCCTTCATCAAACTGTACAGTTTGACAGCCCGCTGAGCTCAGGTGGCGGCTTTACTTTTATTTTAATGCGATTATGCAACAAGTTGTGTTGGTTTTTGGCTTATTGGCTCTATAAAAATGCGTTGCCGCAGGTGTACACAGACAGCAACAGCAACAACAACTACAACTGCGACTCGGGTGCGTTGCCCATAAAAAATTATTATTATGGGCTCTTTACAATTCACACACACGCGTGCGCGCGCTTATTTTGAATGGGAATAGTTTGGTTTTGTTGCATGTTGGCAGCAACTTAAGAGCCGTTAATTGAATTTGGCACCTCCGCTGTGCTGAGAGCAATGAATTGATACGGTTGTTGTAGGTTTTTGTTTTTTTGCTTAAGCTTTGAATTTACATACATACGTACAAGTATAGTATGTATGTGGGTTGTGTTAAGTGTTGCATAAGTGTGGGGCTTGGCCAAAAAGGCTTGAGCTTGATTTTGATTTGGAGTGGAATCAAAGACAGCAGACAGCACTGTTAAGTTGCTGTTATGGTTGGGACTTACCCTTAACAGCTTCGTAGTATCCTAAATCCAGCGTGAATGATTTATGTTAAATCCTGTGTGTATGAATATTAAGTTGTTTTTGTTTTTGTTGGCGGCGGTGACGGCGGCTCGTTCGCTTTGTAGCCAAAAGTGGCACACATACACACGAGAAAGACGGCGATCTACTATTTTTCTACTGGTTTTTACTTTTTCAAGTTTTTCCCTGGTGTTGTTGGTGGCAGCTGCGGTTGCTTGAATTATTATTTATTTCTTTATTTTTTTTCCTTTAATTTTCACTACGATCTTTTTGTAGGCATGCGCATGTGTGAGTGTGTTTGTGTGGGTAAAACACTCGCGTATAGCACGAAGATGAGGTTAAAAGTAGACAACAACAACAACACAGAAGATCACAAACACACACACACACACACACACATAAGCAAACACACTCTCAAGCGCACTAATAACAACAAAAATAAAAAACGTGAACTTGAATCTGCTGCTCAAAGAGTTGTTTTTGAGTGAAAGAAGAGTGGAACACAGAACAACAAGTAGGATGAAGTAGTAGAGAAAACCGGAAAGTTGTTGTTGTTGCTATTATTGTGGTTGCGGCGTTCTTGCCGCTGCTGCTGCTCCTGATGTTGTTTTTGTTGTTTCTCGGTAGAAAAAAGCCCAAAAAGTGTTTAAGGCAATGGCAAGAGTTGCTGTTGCTGCATGAAAAGAATTCTTCATAAAGCGAACAACAGAAGAAATTCCATAAGCTTTTATTTTTCTGATTATAAAATTGATGCTGCACGATTAGACAAGGCTTTGTTTTTCTCTTTTTCTATTTAGTATATTTTACGCGGTAATTTATGCCAAGAATGTTTGTCACTTGTTGCTGACCTTAATACGGCTCGTCACTGTTTTTAACAAATTCCAATGCACATAAATGCACACACAAACACACGCGCACACACATGCACACAAGTAATTGCAAAAACCAGCTTTGTCGCACTGTTTTGTTTTTGGGCCAGTAATTAGCCGCGTTTTGAACTCAATACCGACCGGCACAGCAGCCGTGAGTTTTTACTCTCTGTGCTTTTTCTAATTAGAAAAACAACAACAAGAAGAACAACAACACCACCACCATCAGCAACAGCGGCAGCAATAACAAGCGGAAAAAGTAATTGCGTGTAAAAAGCAAAATAAAACAAAAACAATCTGCGATAACGCACGTTTTAATCAATGGCTTCGTTAATTTTTCACGGAGTCGCGGCTTTTTTTGGTCGGTAAAATTCGACTTTGTTGTTGGCACTTTTGATGTTTGATTTCTTTTTTCGGTTAATTCTCGGATGGCGATCCGCGCTCTTCTCTCGCACGTCTTCTCAATTTCCGATCTCGCTGCAGACTGACCTGACCGCTTTGAATTTGAATTACACTGCTCAACACTGCCCTAAGTTGAAGTTGAGTGTCGCTACTCAGCCCTGGTCTAATAACCAATAGGTGAATAAGCATGAATGAGGTGAGTTGAGTGAGCAAAATGAGTGCTGCCGGATCTGTGTAATTAAATTGTTCTGCGTGCGGTAATGAAAATCAACGTCAAATTCATTGCAATATAGTGTCAAAAAAGTCGTATTCGTTTTGTTTGTGAGGCTATTTGTCGAAAGAGAAAGCTTAATCAAATAAACAATTCTAGGAGACTCTGAAATATTGAAACAGTCAGTCAGTAACAAGGATACGAAAATAATTTTTATTTGTTCACGGTAAGCAACAGAATTCTTAAAGGTGTTCTAACAACCACAAATGACAGCCGTTTCAGATTGCCAAAAGAAATGGCTCAGCCCCACCGCAAACCTATTTTTGGCAAAGAAGTCGCCGTTAATGCAAAGAAGATGAAAATGGGAGATCCTGGCTTGGGCAACGACTCAAACGAAACACGCATAGCCGTTCCGGCTGTCCAAGTCAGCGCTGGACTAACCAAACCAAAAAGCCGAGGCAAAAACTGGAAGACTCTGCTAGATTGCTTGCAAAAGAATAATGGGACCATTCGTCTTTCCAGCAAAACCTTTGACGAAGATAGTGATAATAGTGAGGAAGAGGAAAAAAGTGACAGTGACAGTGATGAGGATAAGGAAAATAGCGATCCTGGTGGCAAAACTTTCAGTAACGTTTTTGGCGATATGTCCTCATCCACATTAGATACCAGTGACTTGTTTCCTACAATGGAACCAGACGATCTAAACATTACGGGTTCAATTCTTTTTGCAAGTGCTGATGACAAGCAGAGGTTCCTCCACTCTGTTGCGCAGGATGGCAAGAAATACTTACGCCGCATAATGCTATTAAAAGCTGGATGCTTTGGAGGAGTTTTGAACGAAGAGCTCGACGAAAACGGCACATACAACAACAACATCAAAGCCAGTTCTGATAATGTTAATGGTGACACGACAGTGCCTCTTTGCTTTTTTGACAATTATCTTTCAGACTTTAATTAAACCTATCACCATTACCATCAACCTAAATTAACTACTAAATTAACTACTAAACCATTTATGTCATAAAGCATAATTTGACTCTGTTTAGTCATTCAACTTCACATTTCAAAATAATTTCATTTTGCCTCGCGCTCACTTCGAATTGACTTGCCAACCTGTTTAAATAGCTGGGAGTATTAGCGTTATCATGCTTTGACAACACTTGCAATATCTTGATATCACAGCGTTGACATCGATGCCTATGGTAAAAAAAAAATACCAGTCATGATATTTGCGCAGGTCCATTGTTCGGTATTCTTTTTGTAATGACATCACAAATCCAGTGGCATTGCCGGGCAATTCTTAAAAAAAATTAAATTAAAAAAAAAACATTGTAGCCAGATTGCATGTCGAACGGTTAATTTAATTTTATAATGGAAAGATATTAGGCGCTGCATTTCACGTAATGGAAAATTAGTCAAACTTTTGAATTAAAATATCACGCGCCATAGAGTATGCTGAACTTGTATACGACGAGTGCCGTGTGGCAGGCGCAATTAGATCAGAAAAATTAAATGTCAGCCACAGTAGGACTGGCAGAGCACTTCCATTACTCGCGGGCACACTTCACAGTTTATTATGAATTTTTTACCCAGATAGAGTAAAAAAGTTCCATTATTGAATGTCATACCTGGTCAGTGTTGCCAATTTGGCTTTTTTCCCGTCAAATCTGGTTGTTTTCGAAATGAGAATGCGGGAAAATATTCGAAATTGCGGGAAACGGGAATTCTGGATTTTTAAAAATACATTTAGCTTTTTTTCGCTTTTTGTAATTTTGCCTACATTTATGTTAAAAAAAAAATGGAAACGAGGCAGCTTTATCATTTTTTTTTATCAATATTTGCCTATGTGTGCTTAATGATGGCAGATTATTGAGTTATTTTTATGGAAAAAATGACTTACAATTAGTAATTATGTATATAATGCCGCTCGTTTATGACAGTAGTGGCACTCGCTTGTGAAAGTAGGCCCTACGTATTGACAAAGAGACTGCTGTGGTTATACTACACATGACATCACTAATTTAAGCCATCTTTATCTCAAAAATGCGCTTAATTTGTAAAGGTGGGAATGCCGAAAGAATGCAATAAAAAATGCCGTGATTTTTGGCTCACTTACAAAGAAACACAGACTTTCTATGGGACAAACAAAATTAGTTTTGTAAAGCTACTGAAGGAAGAAGCAACTCTGTACCTTTTTCTTGCTTAGCATACAGCAATAGCGCAGATTGACCGCTTTTGAAATGTTCACCAAGATGGTGGAAAAATGTATTTTCCAAGGTTTTTTAAAGCATTTCTTGTAAAAATAAATTTAGCTTTTTATTGCGCTTTTTTGCAATAATTATTAGCTTTATTTCACTCTCCTTCCCGACAAAAACAGTTTTTTTTCATTATAAAAAGTTGGCAACACTGTACCTGGTATTTTTTAGCTACAACGCTTTGATATCGATACCAATTACTTTCATGAAACTCCCTTCTCTAAAGAGTATATAAGTAGCTGTTCAAGGGATCCAAGTGTCATTCCTAGTGCGGTTTTTCAACAGTGTGGTGGTGTGGTCGGTCTGTTGTCGCCGAGTATTCGTTTTTTGATTTTTCCATTAAATCTTCCACAAACCGGAACTTGCTGAAAATTAAACAAGTCTGTGGTACTTTGTGGAGCAATGCAAACGCAATAAATCGGTGTGTGCGTAAAGTATGTAAAAATATCGGCCTAAAATACCAACAAGCAAAGCATAGAAAAAGCGAGTGGCAGATTTTTTCTGTCTACCTACACACACACACATTCAGAGAGATACATATATAGATATATGTGCATGCATATATGTATATGTACGGTCTGTCGGAGCGCCGCAAACATAACGATAACGGCAATGATGAAGTTGTGTTGTGTGTATTTGTTCAGTGTGTTTTAGAAATTTGTGTTTGAAAAATACTTAATGTTTATTTAATTGAAACAACAGTTGTGCATTAAAAATCAGTGCAAAATTTCGTGCCGCGCCCCGTTTCGTTCGCCAAACGCCAACACACTCACACACACATATGCATTCACGCTCACTCATGCACGCACTCTCAAACACACACACCCATACACTCTTACAATAAATCAAGCAAAAGAGAAAAGTTGTATTGAAAAAAAGCAACAAATTGTTTGAAAAGAAAAGTGTAAATAGTTTATTGAAATAATTTATGTAATTACATGCCATGTTTTTCAAAATTTTGCCTATTTTGCAGTAATGAACAAATAATAAAATTGTGATTTTTGTGCGACAACCAACACTAAGCCAGCAATAACAATAGCAGCAGCAGCAACGGCAACAACAACACAGGAATAACCGCACTGCTGTCTGACAGTTGGTGTTGTGTGCTTGTGTGTGTGCGTGTGTGTGCGTGCTTGCCTGCATAAGTGTGTTCGTGGTGTTGCTGTTTTAATTTTTATACACTTTTGTGTGAAGTAGCAGCAGCAGCAGCAGCAGCAACAGTAGGAGCAGCACAGAATAACACAAAATAGCAAAATGGCGCACCAACAGCAACAACAACCGCTTGCTCCATCGGTGAATTGTTCATTAGACGATATCGATTTGACTGCTCTGAAGGTAAGTTCCAAGAACATTTATCTGCTTAAAAACGTCTCGCCACACCCCCCCCCCCCCCAGTCTTTGTACATATTTAAATTGTTATTGCACAATAACGGAGAACTGAGGCAGACCAGCGCCCAAAAGCTGGAAGAGACCTGTTTGTTTTTGCTCCAAAATGCTAGGTGTGGTCATAAGCATGACTTTTTATTTATTACACTTATGTAAAGAGAATTTGCTATTTTTCACCTCTTTTCTCCGGCTCTGGCTCTGTCTCGTGATTCTTTCTTTTACTTGCATTTCTTTAGCCTTGCAATCTTATCAATTGGCAACCTTCTAATTGACCTCTGCAACAGCATAAGCAATGCGATATGCAATCTGCAACCATGTGGGGCCACCTGAGGCTATATAAGATAAGAATTCTTTGTGCTCGCAAAGATTGATAAGCTCCCTGGGCCTCGTTTGTTGCCTTTATAAGGAAGTGTTTGACAGCTTATCGAAGGGCTATAAATAGCTCCCCATTGTGTCATTCAACCGAATTGACAGCATGAGCTGCAATTCAATTCCAAAATGCAACGATAATTTCTGTGCATTGTGTAACTAAGATTTAATAAATTCGTGTTTTATAAGTCAAGATTGCATTTTTAACTTTTACTAATAAAAATATAAGTTTCATAAATTATTTTAAATAAATATTTATCCAAATGGATAAAAGAAACCGGACATAATAGTGAGTCATCGTTAGTAGACTCGAAGGAACAGCAAAGGAACCTATTCAAAAGAAAGAGGCCATGTACATACATCTAGTAACAATCTAAATTGGAGAGGATTAACTTTTAGTTATTGGAATGTCTAGGGGGTTTTTTGCAGTTGAATTTGGTTTCTTTTTTCTTTATATATACTAATTTCCGCAAATGTTTTATCTACTAGTAGGTATTATGTATGACCCCTCGGATCATACAGAATACCATATTATTGAATATGGAATACGTTTTATTCAATTTATATATAACAAGCTAGAGTTTTCTAAAACTATCAAAGTGATAGGAACTTACATCCAAATTTAAGCTTCCTAGCTTTTATCCATCATCACAAATTTTTTATATCTTTTCTCAACAAAAATACAATTTTACAATTAGGATTATAAGATAAATAGCCAAAAATAAACGTTAGAATGAGATGTAAAATAACACATCTAAGACAAATATTACTTTTTAAACTGTTACAAAATCGCAACAATTTCTTTATAATTGCGGAGCCTAAGCTTGTTACTAGATTTAAAGCTTCCACAACTCACATTTAAGCGTGTAGTTTAAAAATAAAACCACCCCACTAAGTAATATAAATGCCTCCTTCTATGCAAATTGTTAATAAAAATAAAATTGGCTTCGTGTTTCTTACCTTTTCGTGGTCATGGCAACGTGTTTTTACAGCTATTTTGCAAATTAATACTTGAGTGTTGTTATTTTTGTTTTCTTTGCTATGGCGCTGGCACACCCAGCAAGCAGAGCGCTACACATACACACACACACATACTTACAAAGTATATGAAAGTCTGTTGTAAAATATAAACATAATAATAACAATAAATGCATATTAGCGAGCAATTTCGCATGCCAATTTATTGTGGCTTTTGCCTCTTTTTCGTGCCATTTCGCATATTTTTCAACCCCCAACGCCCACCACCATCATACCAAGAACAACAACAACTATGCCACCACCAATATTGTCAAAAGCGTCAACTATTATGACCACCACTCTTCGGTCTTTTCCATATCTTCCATGTACATAAGTAGGTATTTATGTGTGTACTTTGTGTGCCGACCGGCCGGTGTCATCTCATTGCTTTTGAGTTGTCGCTGCTGACGTTTTTCTTTGCCCGTTATTTTCTTTTTTCATTTCTCAATGAATGCCACACGCACGCTTCCTTTCTCTTTCACAAATTCACCATGGTGGCGGCAACAACAAAAAGTAACTTCAATTTTCACCACGACCGACCGCCACAACAAAACTACGTCTCACCCATCCACCCGCTACACTTGCGGGCGCGCATTGCGCACGAGCACCCCCCACCAGAAAGTAAAGTTTTGCATGTGTCGCCCGCAGTCTGCCGATTGTGTTTGAGTTTGTGTGTGTGTGTGTGTGTGTGTGTATTTGTTTGTGAACGTATGAGTGAGTGTCCGTTTGTTGACTCTGCCCGGCAGCCCTGCTGATGTTGGGTGAGTTGGGCATTATGTTGTTGTTGCTTTTGTTGGGTGTTGGGCGCTTTGTTGGGCTCCTTCTTTGCTCATCTCGTTCTTCAGTGTGTAGTTGTTGCTTCTCTTCTGCTGCTGCTGCGGCATGTACTGGAAAAATTGCTGTTCATAGTCAGACGACGAGACACAAAACGAGACAAGAATGAAAATTGTTTAGTTTACTTTATTAAAAGCAGAAGCAGCAATGTTGAGGAGCAGCAATACACATGCTCCCCAACATACACAGCCACACAGATGTGCCGATATACAGTGGGCGACAAATTGTTCATGAATGAGTTTCTTTTTATAAATGTGGGAAATAGTATATGTTTGCAAATGCAAAATTTTAAATTAAATAGGAATAGGGACAATTAAGAATAAATGCGATATTATCGGAAAAATAACTATATTTCGACCGGTTCTCACATTATAATTTGATTCATACATATGAGAGTAAAGGCTTCACAGTCTAGAGTTAGGTTGATATAGTATCGTTTCATAGAGTTTCATTATTATGTACTTCAGATGCGAAAGAAAAAACCAGTTGAAACATAAATTAAACAGCTCTTGTTGTAACATTTTTCGATACATATTAGTTATAAATAAATGTTCCTTGACGATTATTTCAAAATGTTTGAATGCTGCTAATGAAAAGAAGCTAAGGCCATTCACATTTTCAAAAACATCTAAAACACATACATTCCTAATACAAGTAACTAAAGATATTGATTTATATAAAATGCTAACTTACTGATCAAACTATGTAACTTTTATAGTCAATTAAAGTAAAGGTAGACTAAATGTGGCATTAAAAATTAAATCAGGCGGAAATTGGAAGCATTTCCAAATTTTAAATCCGCATACTTTTATAGAATTATGGATACGAAATACCTCTCACAAATATTTTATGCGGTTGTAAAGCAACTGGGACTTTAAAAAACGATTTATGACTCACTGTGGTGTTTGTGCATGTACATACATGCTAACATATGTGTGTATGTGTGTGTGTGTGTGCTTGCAGCAGACGACGACAACGACTTGGAAGATGATGAAGCACAGCACATGAAGACAGAAGGCAAAGCAGCAAAAACTGGCAGGCATTTGTGCATACATGCATACATACTTACTTATATAAAGCTATACATATATGTATGTTTGTATTTATACATATTTATATACATATCTGTATGTTTGTTGTCTTGTTTGATGTGTTGTTATTGTTGCTGTTGGCCTTCTTGAAGCCTGACGCGTGGGCGCGTCTATATGTCTGCCGTCTCTTTAGCTGCGTGGCTTTTAAAGGTCATTAAACAATCAAAACGTGCTCGTGCCCGAAATAGACAAATGCACAGCTTCACAACAACAACTACTACTTACAACGACAGGCAGGCAGTCAACCATAGCCATAGCCTGTTAGCTTGTGTCGCGCCAAAAAGGTCAGAGTCCTTAAAGCGTCGCTCAGTCGTTAGTGTAACTGTGCGCATGTATGTATATATGTATGTGTGTGTGTGTGTGTGTGTCGAGGAATGTGAACTCGAAAACAAAGTTGGTCACAGAGCAACGTCTTTGTCAACGCTGTGTAAGTCGAAAACACGAATTAAATATTAATGCACTTACAACATCGAAATTATTTGGAATTCATTTTAATTTAAGTCGTCCTGTCTTATAGATCCTTAAATCTTTATCACAACGAAGACTTAAAGCTGTATCACGGCTTTTAGAAGGAGGCTTATACATATTTACAGCTGTTGACAACTAATTAACAACGATGATGCCGGTTGAGGATTTCATCATTTTTCTCCATTTTTTTTAAAGTGATCCATAAAATGTACACATAATCTATATGTGAGACCTATGAACTTTAAAAAAAACCACAGTTGAGTTCAAATTCCTAACTCAAATATTTTTTGTGAGCGATTTCCTGCCGCAGGTATGGGCATACCATACCATAATTTTTTGGATGCGCCGCATGTTTAGAGTCATTATCTTGCTTATAGCCGTAATTTTTTTATTCGCCTATGCTATTAAGACATCCCTTAATATATCGACTTACTTCTCCCAAGTCACAATTTTCTCGATGCGGAATATGAGACCAACTGCGTTCCATGAGAAACACTCTGAAATATTTATTTTGCCTCGACCATACTTGACGACAGTTGACACACACTTTGGATTAAGTTTTACTACTTTTTGGCTTCGCATATATTTTCTACCATCAAGACCAAGTCGGTTAATAATTATTTCATCAGTTCGGACTATATATTTTCATTTGTTAAAAATTCAATCAACATGGGTTCCAGCGTCGTCGTCTTTGCGCAATTGTCTCCATTTGCGTGATGCGTAACTTTCGCCGATGGACCCTAGCCTCAACCAAACGACCAGCGACCGCATCTTAAGATATTACTGCATCATTTTGATACCAAAATTCAAGCTGGATGTCTACAGATCCCCTACGAGGATCCAAATTACCCATTCGAACAACCTTGCTATCCTTGTGGTCTCTTTTTGCGTGGAATATTTTCTGTTGTGTCATACTTTTGCAAATTCTTAAGATCATTAAAAACCATCCTTTTTAAGCAACTTTGCTCTGTTGATAATGCCTGATAGGACTTACCAGTGTCCTAAAGCTCAACAATTGCCTTACGCATGGCCGGGTTGAATATATTTTCTATTGACCAAATTTGATTAAAATGCGTTCTCAGAATCATAATCTACAAAAACTTACATGATTTGTATAAAAATATACCGAAAATGCAAAAATTTTAACCTTTTTTGAAATCGTTGCTAATT